CTGACGTTTCGTCCACAACTGCGGTGGACATTATCAAAGGCGATGAGGCAGTGGGCGAAGTGATCTCCCGTCCTTTCCGACTAAGACTGGTTCAACTACTGGATCCCCTTTCGTATTTATGCAGGGGATCCCGTAGTTGAACCAGTCTTAGTCGGAAAGCACGGGAGATCACTTCGCCCACTGCCTCATCGCCTTTGAAAATGTCCACCGCAGTTGTGGACGAAACGTCAGGAAGACATTCCGATAGACCACGGCTTCAAAGCCCGGAAAACATTCCTAAATGTAATTGGACCGGCCGTGAAAGCCTTCATAGTCTGATAAAGAATGAAATGTTTTACTAAAACAATTTTACTTTTATTAGGTCTACCATCTAACATGTATCCAGATATTAAATTAAAAGATCTTCTAGGGAAATCTGACGACTTAGCTATGCGTGATGATATTCACCTCAAGAATTTATGTTCGTCACGACCCTCTCAAGGTAGTCAGTCACAACCACTGTTAAAAAGGCACAAGAACCGTTCATGCTTCTAAACCCCGCAAACTTTCCATCTGCTTCGCATGACACATTCCACCACTTATTAATCGTCGATGTCGAGGGAAATTATTGAGTGAATGTTTTTGCAGGTATTAAGACTCTGCTTCCAGTCCGCCACTCGAACGCCTTGCAATCAGACTTGACCGAGTCGAAGCGCAAGAAAGGAATCAATCAAGAGCAACTCGATGTCTCGAGGGGTGAGTGGAGTTTTTCCAAACACCAGAATTATTAAGCCACAGTTTGAATTTCCAAAAAGTGGATGCCAATGTGGGCGGCAAGTAAATGTCTTCTATAAAGGTGTTTTTAAAGTGTCCACAATGTTTAGAGGAATAGGAACTAAGTAAGCGTTTTAAACCTTAACGGGTTGAGTATGGAGAGATATCCAAGTGATTCAACGGCCACTTATAATGGATTTTGATACTTCTATCGGTTTTTTTATTTTGTCTCCTCTGTGCGAGGCACACAATAGTTTTTCACATGCAAATCACTTTCATTTTGATCTTGCTGCCTTGTTTTGGGAGGTAACAAAGCACAACGATTTTTATTAATTGTAGCATGCTTGCAATAAGCCAGGAAACCATCAGTCTGTTCTTTTTCTATTGTATTTGTATGTTGTTTTGATAGGCAAAAGATCGAATTTTGGCGAGTTAAAATTGAAATGTATGATTTAAGGTAAAACTCCACACCATTCAGCTTCCACACTCGATTCGCCACATTTATCTCACCATCCACCTTTACCACACCAGTCTCAACAGGCCACGCCAATTTCATTGGGGCGAAGTAGCGGAGCGATCGATGGCAATCCATTTCCATCCGCCTTCGATTTAGCGCCACCGCCCGCTGAGCTCGAATCCTCGTTAGCTCCTACGGTTACTCAATTCGATGGCGTTATTATTGAAGGCGGAAAAATAATCAAATTAGAGCGAATGAAGCAAGAAGAGATCATCAACTGTACGTGCGGCTTCATCGAGGAGGACGGCCTGATGATTCAATGCGAATTGTGCTTGTGCTGGCAGCATGCTTATTGCAACAACATCCAAAAGGAGAGCGAAGTGCCCGAGAAATATGTCTGCTACATCTGTCAGCATCCGCTTCGAGAGCGGCAATCGGCCAAGTATGTGCACGATCAGGATTGGTTGAAACAGGTGATTTTCTGTGCAATTTAACGGGAATGTTTTCTAATTACTTCGATTGTTAAGGGAGTTTTGCCGGTGACGTCGTTCCACAGCAAAGATAAACTGGAGATGGAAAGTCGCTTTGCTAAATTGAAAAAGTGCCACGATGTTTCTGGCGGATTGCTGGAGCTGAGAGAGTATATGCATGCTTTGGCTACCAAGCTTAAAATTGCCGAGTAAGTTCCTTTTATTTTTGTGTATCGTCCACGGATTGATCAGGGTTTTGGAACCAACTGTCCTGGAGCTCACTCAAAAAGTATGTTTTAGCCCAAAACCGAAATTTTATATACAGTACAATCAGGTCATGCAACACGGAAGATTGTCTTCCAAAGAACTATTCGATAGTGTTCTGTGGTATAAAATACAGGATTTTCCATGTAAGTTACGCAAATTTTTTTACAAACTTCTTTTTGGGTATTTCGCCTCAAAAATTTTTGTCTTTAAAAAAAGACAGAATTTCCTCACGTCTTTTATTACAGATTGAT